ACAGACAATTGTGAATTTCATACCCCCAAGAACTTCTGACGTTTTCTCTTGGCAACTTTATTGGCAAGCAAATATTTTAATCCATTCATGGTAGCTGATCTCAGGTTGGTACCTTCAATAGCAGCTAATCTGTTTTTCTGTTGATAAACGTACTTACAAGTGTGTTAATTATATCATCGTCATTTATATAAGGTAATTAAAATAAATAAGAAAGCGGCTTACCACATACGCAAATTTGCTGGGATGCATTAGTTCCTCTTACAAATTGCTTGAAATCCGATCTTTGTTGAATTGGGAATGTTGGCAAACCAATAGGCCTTGTCAATTGCTTCATCTTGTTGTCTAAAAGATATCGAAGTATGTAGTCCAATTTGACCGTATTTTGATCCTGATGTCTACTCGAATGAAGGCATCTATTTCATGTGTTAAAATGATCTATTAGAAGGATCAATTAAAAAATGTATTTTTTTTTGACATAAACAGGAAAGGCCCTTATTATTATAAGTTTTCAATATACTTCGTCTCTGTAGTACAACATATGGAATCATGTTATTATTGGAAAATTTCCCTTGATCTATTAAAAAACGTAATTATCTACTTCGGATCTACTATGGATCAATTATAGAGTAATCACTTTTCTTTTCTTAATAATAATAATAAATTGTTAATTTATTGCTAACAGCAGACAACAGAAAGATTGAGAATAAAAAGACTAAAATTCAGTAGAAAATGATATTAATATTAATTTAGCCCCATTACCTATGTAAAAAAAATTGTGCGGACATTAATAAAACAATCATCTATTACGGATCTATTAGGGATCAGTTATAGAGCAATATAGGTATTAATACTAACTTAATTAAATAGGTGAATTTTCAATACATTGAAAAAATATCTTTATTTCTAACGCAAAACCTAGGGAGATGGATTTTTATTAGAAAACCGTATGAATCATACGTTATTATAGTTTATTTATTGGCAAAAGGTAAATATCTGCTCCATCTATTATAGATCAATTATAGATCCGTCATCCAAATTCAATAAAATGTTAATAATTATAAATGTAAACTTACCTAAAATGTTGTGGACATATGCACAGCACAAAAAGACAAAATTTATCACCACCAAATATAAAAATGTATCAAATTCACCAACTAAAACTGACATTTACATTGCAGCGAACTCAAAAGTAAGCACGCGAAGCCACAGTGAACAAAGGAATGAGATCGACCGTGCGCGCGCAGGCAAAGTAGCGCTAGAGTAAACATAACCCTAACCTTTTTGTTTCTTTAGGAATTTTTAATATTTTTAATCCTTTTTAATAAAATTTTGCAATTATAGTAAAGTAAAAATAAATGTTATTTTTAATAAAATGAATTACGAGCAATGTTAATGGTGACAAATGCGTTAAAAATGTTTAATGGGGAATTCGATCTTTCCCAGCAAACATTTTTGATTTTTAATTACCCGTTATTCATTTTATTAAATTTAACATTTATTTTTACTTTATAATATTAAAATAACTTCAAAATATGAGTATCGAGATGAGTATGTTAAGAAAATATTTTACCGGTTGATTTTTGTACAAGCTTTTATTTTACTTGCAATATTTGTTTGTTTGTATGTTAAATGTCAAATCTTAAAACTAAAGTTTGAACCATTTCCTCCCAGATGGTTGTATCTATGCTCAGTAGTTTAAATCTATGCGCAGTAGTTCCTGGATTATTTTATATATGCGCAGTAGGTTGTATATATGCGCAGTTGTTCTAGGATGATTATACTTATGCGCAATAGTTTCCGTATGTTCGTATCCATGCGCAGTACTGTCTGGAAGATTGTATTTATGCGCATTAAATAAAACATGTCCAGCAAAAAAATAAAAAATAAATGGTAAAAAACATTTTTAAAGAAAATCTTTTATTAAATGCTGTAAAAAGAAGAAAATAAACTTTAACCCGTTAATGCCCTAGTTAACTTCTTTGTTTTTCTTTTGTTGCTATTTTGTTTTAAAATAGCAGTACCAAGACAGATAAATATAGTTGTCATCTTTTTTTTGTATCGTTTGACCGGCACATATTCTAAATGACAACAAATTTAAAACGAAGTTTAAAATAAGCAACTGCCTTATTTTTTACTATATCTTCTTGTCGTCTCTAGATTGTTTTTCTAAGGTATGCTACAGATGTCAAAAATAATAATTAACCAAATACCATTATATTAGCCTTTACAAGTTTTATATCTTTTAGATGTATCATTAAGTGGCATCTATAAATGATTTGGCAATACATGTAAAAAACTAGTGAAAATCCTTAACATTTAAGAGACCTATCATTCTCAATGTCTAATACACGTCGAACATAAGCTTCTACTTAAGTTTAAAGTGTATTATACATATTTTAGATGTCTTTGGAAAATCATCTAAAAACTATTTCATAAAATACGATCGAAATCAGATCCATTTGTATATCTAGATGTTATTTAGATTACTTATACCAGATTTAGACATCTATTAGATTACCTTGTGTTTCCTGGGAGAGGTTTTTGCTTATTTAAAAAATTTAAAGCCAAAACAGATTCACGGAGGATAGAATCAATTTTTGTAACACGTACATAAATGGTTATAAAAATTATTTCTTTTAATTTTTAATAATATTTTATATTCGATTCGATTGCTTTGGATGTGTTTAATTTACATAGTGAACTGATATTTTTAGTATGCTTTTACTACCTCAGATATCACATATAGGTAAACTCAGAAAGAGTAACAGTCACGGAGGATAGTATTATACTTTTATGGTAATACCGTTTTCCAATATAGTGAAATAGATAAAAAGGGTTATAAACTTTATTGCAATCTGTTTACATTTTATTAAAAAGTTCCTACTTTTATGGACTGAATTACTCAAACTTTGAGGGTATTCTTTTCGTTGTTTTGAACAAAATTCTAGTGTTTCAGTGAAAAACAAAAAAAAAAACAGTCGTTTTAAATAAAAAACCCTACTTTGTATGAATTAAAAAATTAATTAGAGGTTAATTATAATAGAAACTTGTGTAAGCTGCATAAGATACTTTTTTAACAAACAAAACTGCGTTGTGAAGAAAAAAGAAAATTATTTCTTGTGTTTTCGAGGCAATAGCAATGAAATATTTATAGAAATAGTATATTTAGGCAGACAAAGACATTAATCTTCAGTAAAATATGATGCACATTGCTTATTTACCACTTTTAGAAACTCAATTAATTCTGTGCTGTTTCGAAAAAGGATTATTTTTGTATGGAAGGAAAATATAGGTAGTTATTGCCTCTCAGAAAAATATGTTTCTCCTTCGTGACTGTACGTGCTAACTCAACCGAATTATTTGCATTTTATGATTACGAAAATTGAATTTCACGGTGTTTCATTGGCCCTGAAACTTCAATGTCAATGTTAACTGTATTATCGACATTACAGTGTTCTGCTTTAGCGTAAATTATTCTGTTTTGCATATGGGTGAATCTCACGAAATGTCCTCCGATGGTAATATTTAATAAAACTAAATGAGTTTGACCTACACTTTTATTGTGTTTTGATCTTTCATAATTAAGTTTATATTACAGCTCAGGTTCCAGATTTTTAACCGCAATTAATTATTTTTTACAATGTTTTAAAAGTCTAAAACCTATCCTCCGTGAATGTTACTCTTTCTAGGTTAACCTATGTTTTCAAATATCTGAGGTAGTAAAAGCATACTAAAAATATCAGTTCACTAAGTAAATAAAACACATCCAAAGCAATCGAATCAAATATAAAATATTATTAAAAATTAAAAGAAATAATTTTTATTACCATTTTTTGCTTTAAATTTTAAGCAACGGATGGCGCTTTAATCATTTTAAATAAGCAAAAACCTCTGTTTACGACATTATAGATCCATGTAATTCCTGAAGGTCAGTTAGAATTTATATGCAGATGAGAGTGTTGCTGTTTTATAATTCAAAAGTTTAAGTTCATTAATTTGCTATTTAAAAACCTATCCACCGTGAAGTGTAATATCTCAGTAAGTAGTTTTTTTTTAATATTTTATGTATGTACAATTGTATTTTTTTTAAATATTAAGGTGTCAAAAGATAAAATAACTTATTTCAAATATACAAAGGGATGTTTAGAAAAAACTAACTTCCGTGAAGCTATCTTCCGTGAAGTGTGATTTCTTAAAATTCTTGCATTAGTGCAGAACCACTTATGTTATGTTATTACTAGACCTGGTGGCTTCCCAAAAACCCATTTCTGGACTAACAGTGAAACAACCAAAAATAAAAAATAATTATTTTTACTTGGGGATCTGATAAAGAAAGGTGGTATCTACATTTTTATTGAAAAATTTGAAGACGTGAAAAACTAATTTGATTGGTTCATTTATTGTTTGATAAAATTAAATTTCAAAAATCTTAATTTTATTTTCGTTTTGGTTACGCATATTTACATTTAATCTTTTAAGTAATTAGGTTTGTCGTTAAAAAGAAAGTCCCGGATACACCAAAAGATACCGCAAAGTTTTCTCATTTAAACTTAATAAGCAGCAGATAAATGGAAATGATATCTCTTATTAAATTTTAGCGACCTATGACGGTATAATTTATATTAAAATTAGAAATGTTTATAACTTTTTATGTCCAGTTTCTTTGTAGTGCTATACACAAGTGGCAAACAGTGTCAGTAAAGAATGCAAGTGTGAAATCGGATCTGATGCTTTTGTTTAAAATTAAAAAAAAAAACTGTCAAATTTTAAAACATATATAAATTTTAAGGTATTTTTTTAAAACTTTTTTGCTTTTATTAAGTTAACATGGATAAAAGTAAGCAAACAATACAAACAATATTTTTTATTGCTAAATAATTCCATTACAAATATATGATATAAAATTTATATACATTGATAAGATTTGTGAAGGATCTGGTATTTTTACAAAAAAGTTTTAATTATTTTATTGATTTACATGGTTGACTTACTACAGAACATTACATGAGTGGTATTTGTTCTTGCAATGGTTTTTTATTAAGTAATTTGGCAATAATAATATTATTGTATACCAATGTGCCAAAACCTAATACCAAAATAACAGTAATAATAATAAGAATGATTACAATTGGAGTGTTTTGATCCAATAGGGTGTCTTTATTCAAGGTGTCTTTATTAAATGAAGTGTGTCCGACATCAATTGTTGTTTTGGGTTGGTTGGTGGTTGTATCGCTAGATTTAGAACATTCTATACCAAGTATATTACTTAAATTACGTTGATGTCCTTTTTCAACCACAATTGACTGGGAAGTTAAATCTAGGACTATCTTTAATAGAATTTTACACTCCCACTTGTTTCCATCTAATGATATGGTCCTTAATTTAGGAAAATATTTTAATGATTTGTCATCAAAATCTTTTAATTTGTTGTAGGCAAGTCCTAAGTATATTACATTTAGTACATTTAATTCTCGAACAGAAATAATATTATTGTGAGTCAAGTTTAAACTTTCTAAACCATTAAAATGGTCAAAGAAGCCGGTAGAAATGATTTGCAAATTATTGTAAGATAAATCCAATTTTTTTAAACTAACTAAGTAATGTAAACTACTGGAAAGTTTATCTAATTTATTATTATTTAAACTAAGATCATATAAGTTAATTTGGTTAAAAAAAGCTTCGGGTTCAATAACGGATACATTATTATAACTTATATCTAAAATATTAACTGAAACATTATTAAACATAAAATTCTGCAGTTGGTTAATTTTATTATGATTAACATAAAATTCTTTAATACTAGTAAATCTGAAATAAGATTGGTTAGCAGTATTTATAAAATTATTAGAAATGCCCAGTATGTGCAATTTTTTTATGGGATGAAATATGTTTTGATTTAATTGATAAATCAAATTATTTTTTAAATTTAAATGTGTTAGCTGTTCTAAACCGGAAAATGCATCTTCTTCAATAATTTCTACTTTATTAAACTTGAAACTTAAAATTGTAAGATAACTCAAAGAGTTAAATACACCCTTCCTTATAATTTGGATATTATTTTTATCAAAATATAATTCAGTTAAATATCTTTTAAAATTATCAAAGGATCCTGGTAGTATATTAAATATATTTAGTTTTATTAAAAGAAGTTTTACATTATAATTATGTAATAAAAATGTACGACTATGTACTTCATCAATAAATGAGGATGATATATTTTCTGCGATTATATTGCTTTGATAACAATCACCGTACTGTATGCCAAGCCAACTTGATATAAATTTCTCACAATATGAAGAAGAATCTGAAAAGTAATCCAATATATTACTGTATTCGGGAACATAAATGTTGTCACGGTCTTCAACACAAAATGGTTCATATCCAGTAAATTGAAGAACCACTATTACGTAGAATAAATACATCTAAAACAAAACAACTCTTAAAGGGATGTACCAACAGTTTTAGATGTGGTACCTTTTGCTCTTTTTATACGGCCCACCGGGCTAGAATCGCCAATAAATATTTAAAAGAGAATGAATTGGCCAGCTTGCAGTCACACTGGAAAGACGAATTCGAGCACATTTTTTTATAACCGTTTTTTATTTCAAAAAATACTTTTAATTTTTTAATGCCATATAAATATTCCGTATAAATAAATAATTTATTACAGTGTTTTTTATTTAAATTTAATAGTTATTGTCACATTAATTCCAATATAAACCTTTTTATTTTCAGTAAAAAATCGAATGGAGTTAATTTTCAAGTAAGAAATCCTATTTTATTTTTTTGTCAATATTAATTAATCAGCCTGTATAATAAAGCAATTTGAGAATTATAATAGAACTGTAATGAAAAATAATAAAAAGTGAATAATTAAAATACTTACATTATAATTTGATATTACGGGTAAAAACTTTTAAACCTTTATTATTGCGGATCTAATACATGAATGACTAAACAATAATTAAAGATTTTAATAATCATCAACAGGATATATGTGGAAGATGATAAAACATAAACACAATATTTTTTTAATAAAATCCAAATGGTATAAAATGCTTAAATTTGGCATATTTTACTTGAAATTTTTTTACAGGCGCATTCACAATTTTTGACAAAGTTTTAACGGTTTATTTAAAAAAATTATTTTAATTTTTCATAAAATATTTATTAAACATTTATTAAATTTTTAAATTTCTTATCCATATTTTGCAGCTATTTTTTGTGTACTATTTAAAAAATTGTTTTAAATCTTTAAAACGTTATGAGTTTTAATTAAATATTATAATACACATATATTTTTTAATAGATTAATAGTAAATTTAAACATATTTTCAAAAAATGTATATATATTAAGGGCCGTTTAAAAAATACGTGGTATTAAACATCTTACATTACACCGAAAAAAATAATGTAGTTGAGTTAACGTTTGCCTAAATGTCATTTTTAAAAATGTTGTTTCATCAAAAAACCTATTGGATTAATCTATATTTTGGTGTCAAAGCAATAGTCAGAGTTTGTCAAAGTTTATTTGTTCATTCGATAGTTAAAATATTGATTTAACATAAACTAATTTTTTGAACTAAAATGTTTATCCTATTTTGATTTAATAGCTGGTATTGGTTGAATCAAATACTGAAATTTTTAGGATTACCTAAAAAGACTATTAAATTAACGTTTAGTTGCTCTTTAAATCCAAAACATTAAATTTGTTCATTTTACAAATTGTAAATGTTACTTTAAAATTTGTTAATTTTGCAATCATAAAATTGCCGTGAAGGGCGCTTCGAACACCCACGCCACGTCATTAGACGGTGTTGATCACGTGATGTTCTTACATCTCGCCTCAGTTGGCCTACGATAGGATTATATAAGCTCAGGTAGCCGTTTGTTTTTGGTGTGTTCCACAGTGGAACTTCCACTACACCAAATTGCCCGACACTGATAAGACCCCCAATATAGGTCGAATCAGCTGTCTGTCGGTAGGTATTTTAAGTAGGTGGAACGCACTCAAAACAAAAGCTCTGGCGAGGGAAGGTTCAATTCTTTCTCTTTATATTAATTCCATAAGTTTGTTTTGAATACCAACCTTTAAAGAATGTTACTTTTACATTTTTAAAATGTCAACCCAACCCAATTAACCCAACATTGGCGCAAATTATTTTAATTTAACATTTTATTGTTTACATTTTAGTAAAAAGTTTCTACTTTTATGGACTAAATTACTCAAACTTTGAGGGTATATTTTTCGATGTTTTGAACAAAATTCTGGTTTCAGTAAAAAAAATTAATTAGAGGTTAATTATAATAGAAACTTGTGTAAGCTGCATAAGATACTTTTTCAACAAACAAAACTGCGTTGTGAAGAAAAAAGTAAATTATTTCTTGTGTTTTCGAGGCAATAGCAATGAAATATTTATAGAAATAGTATATTCAGGCGGACAAAGACATTAATCTTCAGTAAAATATGATGCACATTGCTTATTTACCATCACTTTTAGAAACACAATTAATTCTGTGCTGTTTCGAAAAAGAATTATTTTTGTATGGAAGGAAAATATAGGTAGTTATTGCCTCTCAGAAAAATATGTTCTCCTTCGTGACTGTACGTGCTAACTCAACCGAATTATTTGCATTTTATGATTACGAAAATTGAATTTCACGCTGTTTCATTGGCCCTGAAACTTCAATGTCAATGTTAACTGTATTATCGACGTTACAGTGTTCTGCTTTATCGTAAATTATTCTGTTTTGCATATGGGTGAATCTCACGAAATGTCCCCCGATAGTGATGTTTAATAAAACTAAATGAGTTTGACCTACACTTTTATTGTGTTTTGATCTTTCATAATTAAGTTTATATTACAGCTCAGGTTCCAGATTTTAAACCGCAATTAATTATTTTTTACAATGTTTTAAAAGTCTAAATCCTATCATCCGTGACTGTTACTCTTTCTAGGTTAACCTATATGTTTTCAAATATCTAAGGTAGTAAAAGCATACTAAAAATATCAGTTCACTAAGTAAATTAAACACAACCAAAGCAATCGAATCAAATATAAAATATTATTAAAAATTAAATGAAATAATTTTTATAACCATTTATGTAGGTGTTGCAAAAACTGATTCTATCCTCCGTGAATCTGTTTTTGCTTTAAATTTTATGCAACGGATGGCGCTTTAATCATTTTAAATAAGCAAAAACCTCTGTTTACGACATTATAGATGCATGTGATTCCTGAAGGCCAGTTAGAATTTATATGCAGATGAGAGTGTTGCTGTTTTATAATACAAAAGTTTAAGTTCATTAATTTGCTATTTAAAAACCTATCCACCGTGAAGTGTAATATCTCAGTAAGTATATTTTTTTATAAATATTTTATGTATGTACAATTGTATTTTTTAAAATATTGAGGTGTCAAAAGATACAATAACTTATTTCAAATATACAAAGGGATGTTTAAAAAAAACTAACCTGCGTGAAGCTATCTACCGTGAAGTATGATTTCTTAAAACTTTTGCATTAGTGCAGAACCACTTATGTTATGTTATTACTAGACCTGGTGGCTTCCCAAAAACCCATTTCTGGACTAACAGTAAAACAACCAAAAATAAAAAATAATCATTTTCACTTGGGGACCTGATAAAGAAAGGTGGTATCTACATTTTTATTGAAAAATTTGAAGACATGAAAAACTAATTTGTTAGGTTAATGTAATTGTTTGATAAAATTAAATTTCAAATGTCTTAATTTTATTTTCGTTTTGGTTACGCATATTTACATTTAATCCAAGTAATTAAGTTTGTCGTTAATAAGAAACTCCCGATACACCAAAAGATACCGCAAAGTTTTCTCATTTAAATGTTGTCTCTTATTAAATTTTAGAGATTTGCTGTTACCTACAGTTATTTGGTAAAAACTCTAAAATATTTTTCCTAAATTGTCAAGTGTTTCTCATGTCAGTTATAAAATATGGGGTATCTATTTTAAGACTGTCAGGATAAAAAGTAGGCAAAAAATACAAACAATATTTTTTATTGTAATGTAAAATTTATATATTGATAAAATTTGTGTAGGGTGTAATATTTTTACAAAAAAAAACTAAAAGTTTAAATTATTTTTTTTATCTACATTGTTGACTTACTACATAACATTACATGAGTGGTATTTGTTCCCGCAATGGTTTTTTATTAGGAAATTTAGCAATAATTATGTATACCATTGTGCTTAAAACTAATAACAAAATAACAGTATTAATAATAAAAATGATTATAATTTTAGTGTTTTGCTCCAATAAGGTGTCTTTATAACAGGTGTCTTTATTAAATGAAGTGTTTCCGACATCAATTGTTGTTTTAGGTTGGTTGGTGGTTGTATCGCTAGATTTAGAACATTCTATACCAAGTATATTACTTAAATTACGTTGATGTCCTTTTTCAACCACAATCGACTGGGAAGTTAAATCTAGGACTATCTTTAATAGAATTTTACACTCCCACTTGTTTCCATCTAATGATATTGTCCTTAATTTAGGAAAATATTTTAATGCTTTGTAATCAAAATCTTTTAATTTGTTGTAGGCAAGTCCTAAGTATATTACATTTAGTACATTTAATTCTCGAACAGAAATAATATTATTGTGAGTCAAGTTTAAACTTTCTAAATTATTAAAATGGTCAAAGAAGCCCGTTGAAATGATTTGCAAATTATTGTAAGATAAATCCAATTTTTTTAAACTAACTAAGTAATGTAAACTACTGGAAAGTTTATCTAATTTATTATTATTTAAACTAAGATCATATAAGTTACTTTGGTTAAGAAAAGCTTCGGGTTCAATAACGGATACATTATTATAACTTATATCTAAAATATTAACTGAAACATTATTAAACATTAAATTCTGCAATTGGTTAATTTTATTATGATCAACATAAAATTCTTTAATACTAGTAAATCTAAAATAAGATTGGTTAGCACTATTTATAAAATTATTAGAAATGCTCAGTATGTACAATTTTTTTAAGGGATAAAATATGTTTTCATTCAGATGATAAATCAAATTATTTTTTAAATTTAAATGTGTTAGCTGTTCTAAACCGGAAAATGCATCTTCTTCAATAGTTTCTACTTTATTAAACTTGAAACTTAAAATTTTAAGATGACCCAAAGAGTTAAATACACCCTTCTTTATAATTTGAATATTATTTATATCGAAATATAACTCAGTTAATCTATTTTTATAGTTTTCAAAAGATCTTGGTAGTATATAGGATATATTTAATTTTGTTAGAAGAAGTTTTGCACTATCATAATCTAATATATAGGTGTTACTATGTACATCTTTAATAAATGACGATGACAAAATTTCCTCGGTTATGTTGGTTTGGTAACAGCCCCTTACGTTTTGGCCAAACCAGAGTGATTTAAATTTGTTACAATTTGACGATGAATCTTGAAAGCAATTCTCTATATTACTATATTCGGGAACATAAATTTTATCACGGTCTTCAACACAAAATGGTTCGTATCCAGTAAATTGTAGAACCACTATTACGTAGAATAGATACATCTAAAACAAAACAACTCTTAAAGGGATGTACCAACAGTTTTAGATGTGGTACCTTTTGCTCCTTTTATACGGCCCACCGGGCTAGAATCGCCAATAAATATTTAAAAGAAGTCGGGATTGTCCGTATGAATTGGCCAGCTTGCAGTCCCGATCTCAATACAATTGAACATTCATGAAACACACTGAAAAGACTTATTTGAGCACATTTTTTTATAACCCTTTTTTATTTCAAAAAATACTTTTAATTTTTTAATGCCATATAAATATTCCGTACAAATAAATTATTTATTAAAGTGAATACAGTGTTTTTTATTTAAATTTAATAGTTATTGTCACATTAATTCCAATATAAATCTTTTTATTTTCAGTAAAAAAATCGAATGGAGTTAATTTTCAAGTAAGAAATCCTATTTTATTTTTTTGTCAATATTAATTAATAAAGCAATTTGAGAATTATAGAACTCTAATAAAAAATAATAAAAAGTAAAGTGAATATTTAAAATACTTACATTATAATTTGCTAATACGGGTAAAAACTTTTAAACCTTTATTATTGCGGATCTAATACATGAATGACTAAAAAATAATTAAAAATTTTAATAATCGTCAACAGGATATATGTGGAAGATGATAAAACATAAATAAACACAATATTTTTTTGATAAAATCCATATGGTGTAAAATGCTTACATTTGGCATATTTTACTTTTTTGAAAATTCCACACCTGTAATTTTTAACCAATCAAAACATGTATTTTTGATAGATCACCATGGCAACGGTTGAATTTTAGTGGACATTTTTTCCTCGTGGGTACCCAACAGCGAATTATACTGGAAATTTTTTTGACGTTTATAATGACAGAATATTTTTTTGACAATCTGGTTTTTATTTGTTTACATGATAATTTTGATACATTTCCATTACAAAGTTTAGATGTTTTCTATATTCGTTGGACACCTCCTTTCTTCTTAATGGCGAAAATGCAGGACTTGAAATAAATTAAATGTCTATGTCTAATGAAATATATATAATATTTAGACACTATTCTATTCACCTTTTTTCATTTAGCACTTTGAGTTTTGAATAGTTAAGATGCAAATATTCGTGAACAATTCAAGGCAAATTTTCTTTCTTCAAGTAGGAGCCACAATCCTCTAATAATGCGGGTAAATAAGTCATTGCACGATGATTGATCATTACAGCAGACAATTTCACATTTTTTTACGTCGTGCCGCTTGACAGCTTCAAAACTGAAATAACTTTTAGGTTGGGGTTAACTTAGTTGCCATGGTAACTAAATAATCAAGTCAAGGTCAAGTTAAATCAAAAAATAAATTTTAATTATTTAAACACAATTTGGTGTGGAATTTTCTTACCGAATACCACACGAGGTCAAATTAAATCCGGAAATTTTTTCTCCCTCATGAATATTTTTAGAAAATTATCCCTCGTCTTCGACTCGGGATAATTTTCAAAATATTCATGAGCTCGAAAAAATTTCCGGAAATAATTTGACCTCTAGTGGTATTACTAGTGATAATTTTGATACATTTCCATTACAAAGTTTAGATGTTTTCTATATTCGTTGGACACCTCCTTTCTTCTTAATGGCGAAAATGCAGGACTTGAAATAAATTAAATGTCTATGTCTAATGAAATATATATAATATTTAGACACTATTCTATTCACCTTTTTTCCATTTAGCACTTTGAGTTTTGAATAGTTAAGATGCAAATATTCGTGAACAATTCAAAACAAATTTTCATTCTTTAAGTAGGAGCCACAATCCTCTAATAATGCGAGTAAATAAGTCATTGCACGATGATTGATCATTACAGCAGACAATTTCACATTTTTTTACGTCGTGCCGCTTGACAGCTTCAAAATTGAAATAACTTTTAGGTTGGGGTTGACTTAGTTGCCATGGTAACTAAATAATCAAGTCGAGGTCAAGTTAAATCAAAAAATAAATTTTAATTATTTAAACACAATTTGGTGTGGAATTTTCTTACCGAATACCACACGAGGTCAAATTAAATCCGGAAATTTTTTGACCTCTAGTAATATTACTATAGTAATATTACTATAGTGAAAATTTTTTGAAAACAGTGGTTTTGAGTTTAAAATAAAATATTATAACTTTATTCCAGGCGCATTCACCATTTTTGACAAAGTTTTAAGGGTTTATTTTAAAAAATCGTTTTTCTAAAATATTTTAATTTTCTATAAAATATTTATTATAATTTTTAAATTTTTTATGCAAATTTTGCGGCTATTTTTTTGTGTACTTAATGCTAAGCTTAATGAACAATGTAGCGTACGCCTATTTAAAATATTGTTTAAAATCTTTTAAACGTTATGAGTTTTAATTTAGATTTAATTAACTATTAAATATACATATACTTTTTAATAGATAAATAGTAACTTTAAACATATTTTCAAAAAATTTATATTTTTTAAGGCCGTTTAAAAAATACCTGGTATTAAATATATTACATTAGGAGTATATAAAATTAAAACAATAGTTTTCTAATTTTTTTAGCAAAAATTATTGGTTTAAGATGTTTTTAATAAAAAAAACTATTAAAAATGTTTTTTTTTCGTCAATAACATGGATAAAAAGTAAACAAACAATACTTAGCATATTTTTTATTACTAAATATAACCATTACAAATATGCAATATAAAATTTGATAAGATTTGGGTGTGGTGTAGGTACCATATAATAAATACAATTTTATTTTAAAATTTTGACAAAACAATATTTTCCAATAATATATTTGTATTCTTTGCTTTTTTAAAGGTACTAATATATTTATTCTATAGTATTATTAATAAAAAGTGGGTGGTATTTGTTCATGCAATGGTTTTTTATTAAGTAATTTAGCAGTATTATATACCAATGTGCTTAAAACTAATAACAAAATAACAGTAATAATAATAAAATGATTACAATTGGAGTGTTTTGCTCCAATATGTTGCCTTTATTAAATGAAGTATTTTTGACATCAATTGTTGATTTATATGTATCGTTAGATTCCGAGCATTCTAAATTACTTTCATAACCTTTTTCAATTACAATTGACCGTGAAAATATGGCTTCTTTTAATAGGGTTTTACACTCCCAAATATTTCTATCTAATGATATTTTCTTTAATTTAGGAAAATATTTTAATGATTTGTCATCAAAATCTTTTAATTTGTTGTAGGCAAGTCCTAAGTATATTACATTTAGTACATTTAATTCTCGAACAGAAATAATATTATTGTGAGTCAAGTTTAAACTTTCTAAATCATTAAAATGGTCAAAGAAGCCCATAGAAATTGTTTGCAAATTATTGTAAGATAAATCCAATTTTTTTAAACTAACTAAGTAATGTAAACTACTGGAAAGTTTATCTAATTTATTATTATTTAAATTAAGATCATATAAGTTACTTTGCTTAAAAAAAGCTTCTGGTTCAATAACGGATACATTATTATAACTTAAATCTAAAATATTAACTGACACCTCATTAAATATAAAATTTTGCAGTGAATTAATTTTATTATGATCAAGATGAAATTCTTTAATACTAGTAAATCTAAAATAGGATAGGTTAGCACTATTTATAAAATTATTGGAAATGCCCAGTGTGTACAAATTTTTTAAGGGATAAAATATGTTTTCATTCAGATGATAAATCAAATTTTTTTTTAAATTTAAATGTGTTAGCTGTTCTAAACCGGAAAATGCACCTTCTTCAATAATTTCTACTTTATTAAACTTGAAACTTAAAATTTTAAGATGACCCAAACAGTTAAATACACCCTTCCTTATAATTTGGATATTGTTTATATCAAAATATAATTCAAACATATTTTTAAAACTATCAAAGGATCCTGGTAGTATATTGGATATATTTAGATTTGTTAAAAGAAGTTTCACTTGATAATCAATTAACGATGTACGTCGATTTACATAGTCAATAAATGAGGATGACATATTTTCTGCGGTTATGTTGGATTGAAAACAGTAATGGTCCCGTATGCCAAACCAGCGTGATTTCAATTTCTCACAATGTGATGATGAATCAAAAAAGCAATACTTTATATTACTATATTCGGGAACATAAATTTTATCATGGTCTTCAACACAAAATGGCATATATCCAGTAAATTGTAGAACCACTATTAAGTAGAATAGATACATCTAAAAAAAACAACTCGTTTTTTAAAATGTAAAAAGTAAAATTTATTTTTAAATATTAATTATTTATTTGGCATTAATAAAAACCTTCTTGGGGGGCTACGTAAGTAATTTTATAAAAGAACAGTTATTAGGGTTTATTTTCAAAAAATAATTTTTGTGAAATATATTAATTTTGTATAAAATATTTGTTTTACATTTATTATAATTTTAAAATATGTTTCAATGTGCCAAAAATCAAATAAAAAATATAAAAACTTTCTTAAATTTCTTATGCAAAAATGATTTTAAATTGTTTTCCTATCTTGTTTTTGAGATATTTAATGTTTTCAAAAAACTTTGACTGATGGAGTGACAAACTAAAATATCTAAATAACCAACACTTGCAATGTTGAAAAGTTCATTTTTGGTATATACGTAAATAAAGGATATCATGATCATAAGACATAACTTGTATTCCAAAATGTATTAAAATGTAATAAAAAACAACTATAAGTAAAGTTAATAATTAAAATACTTACATTAGGTTTTTCTATTACGAATAAAACTTTTAACCCTGTATTATTTTAGATCTCATACATACATAACTGACGAAAAACTAATTTAAGATTTTAATTATCATAAACAGGAAATAGGTGGGAGGACACCAAAATCCATTAATAGTCTTTTGATAAAAATTATAAAATGCCTACAATTAGTAAACTCATTTTACATTTTTTTTTACAATTAATTAATAAGCAACTTTTTGCTAGAATTTAATAGTATATTATGTATCAAGATTGATAAACGCCAGCTTGCGAGCGAGTGCTTAAATTAATGAGTGTATAGAAAAGTTTATAAACGAGGTGCAAACTATACTTTTTCTACGACAAATACTTATTATTATCTTAAAATGATTTAAATCAAATATTTTTATAGAGCGCCATCTAAGAAACAATAGGGGAATCTGTGTGTCACCGTCAAATGTCAAATTTTTATATTTTATAAACACAGATTATAAAGGTTATAAATCGAAATGTATTTCTTGAAAATTGACAGTTTTTCAAAGTGAAAGTAAAGAAAATGTTTTATGAGCACTTTACAGTGGAGTCCGTGCCCGAATTTAAGTTATAGTTTACTGCCGGCGAAATTAAAAGGTCAGTACAATGTTCATATAAACTTTTCAAATATTGACGTTGAGAAACTATTTAATACTTTTGTATTTTTGTTTTGAGATAATAAAATAATTTTTACATTTAGTAATATTTTACAAGAAAGGCACTTTATTTTAACGATTGTATGACATTTGACAACTGTCAACTAACTTAAAACTAACTTCATCCCGTTACTAAAAACCTGTTGCTAACTTCAGCCCGTGAATAAAGCGCCATAAAGCCACAACTTGTCAATGTGTATTTAAAAGGTCACTTAGTGTCATGGAAACATCTACGATAAAGGGCGTTTTAAAGGTGGGAGTAGAAAAAAGTATTTAAAATCATTTTATAGATTGAAGTAGTCGAAAAATTGTATTCAAGGAATTTTTTGGGGAAAAAACGGAGAAAATTTATAAAGAACATTTATTTTAAAGTTATTATTATTACACTACATGGTAACATCTCTTTTACGAGGTCGTTTTACAACAGTTATATTTAAAATTTAAATTTATCCCACCCGCAGGGGTGAATAACAGACCACATTTTCAAATTAAAGATACAAAACTGTGTTCATTTTAAAAAGAATAGCATAAACACAATATATTTTATTTATTTTTTATTTCCATATTCACACCATTAAGCAAAGTGGAAAATGGTGTTTTTAAGCATAAATCTTTCGCATAATAACTCGATCAATCAGGAAAAAACGGTTTGTTTTTCCAATATCTTTGTTTTTTATAATTAGATTGAGACAAAGCATGCAAACGCCTCATACTTTTTGTGTTATCGATTCCTAAAACAAACAAAGAGGTTTGACATTGGACTTGGAAAGTAAAAATTATTATTTTTTATTTTTGGTTGTTTCACTTCACAATCATACATTTTGAATATTAGAGCTTCACGGAAGATAGCTTTACGGAGGTTAGGATTTCGCATGTTTTTTTTATGGGAGTGGGTAATTGATAAAAAATGTTTTTACTTTAAAGTTTGTAATTTTATAAAATAAATATTTTTAAGTAATTAAAAAAACATTGTACTTATTTTTTTGTATTTACCTACACGTGCGCATAACATGAAAAGGTAAAGAATAAAAATCGTTTATTGAATTCGAGTCATATCATGCTTAATAAAAATAAAATATGGCGAGGCGAATATTTTGCACAATAGGTATTGCATTCTATTTATAACGATTTCATCGATGTCATGGCAACGTAATGATTCCCCGATAACAACCTGTTTTAATTTTGGTTTTCCACCTATTTTTATTTAAAGCAAATATTGATATTCGAATCAAAAGAAATATGTTTACAAAATAACTAAAAACAAGCAAATACAATTTGTTTAATTTTTATAACAAGGAAAAATATGCTAAAGAGAAATCAATTTGAATGTGTTATCTAAGGATGAAAAGGTTTATCGCATCCAATATAGTATTTTTTTTATCAGCTCAATAAAAAGCCTTGGAAAGTTTGAATTAGCAATTTGTGTCTATATGAACTTTTTCGATTCTGCCGTATCATCAAAAGTTCACCTCTCATCTATGAGATTAATTTATACTTTATTTTTTTTATAATTTTTTTCAGTACTAAATATTGAAGATATACTTACATTTGTCTAGGAAACCAAAGTTGAATCACCCTATTGTCTTACTCTCTAAAAATGAATAAAAAAGACTAATTAAATAGTTAATAGTGCACGGAGAGAAAAGTATAATGCTGATTACCATAATTATAATACCCTTTACTATAATTTATATTACTATTTGGGACAACTATATATATAAATTATTGCCAGATACTATGCATATTTAGTAATTTTTAAATATCCTTGTATGTTAAACCTTAAGGTAAAATATTATTATTCTCAACCGATTTTGTTTTTAATTCTTATTATAATTAGATATTTTCCATTACTAATAAGTATAGTAAATTTTAAAATATTATGTTGCCATTTTAAATATAAAATATTTTAAAATCGAATATTTTTATATGTTAACAATTAAAAATTGTAACATATTTATCGTACTTTTTAATATACAAAAATGTTATGAGAAAGAATTGAACCTACACCTCGCCAAAGTTTTTTGTTTTGAGTGCGTTCCATCAACTTCAAATACCGTCAGACAGGTGTTTTGACCTATATTGGGTATCATCAGTGTCGACACGACACTGTCGAGCAACTTGTAGTAGTGGAACACATCCAAAACAAAGAAATACCTGTGCTTAAATAACATGGTTGGTAAGCCAACAGAGGCGAGATGTAACAACACCACGTGATCCACACCGTCTAACGACGCGTCGCGACGTGGCCTTTGCCGCAATCGGTAGATACTATGCAACCAAGTATGTTTAATTATTTCTTATAAGTATTACCAGTAATGGGTCAAGAAAGTTTATTGAAGAAACTAAGAAAATTTAATGTTTAAAATGTCATGAGTTAGTATATTGTATATTATATTTAAATATATTGTTTATTTACCTTAAACATAAAAGTATCTTTATTTTTACTATATTTTTTATTAATGTGTAATATATTATAATATTAGATGTACACCTTACATTTGATTAAATCATATAGTAAATATTACTATTTGTAGATAGTAAAATCAATTTACTATACGAACATATTAAAAATTAAAATATATATTATACATATATGATTTAGTAATATTGGTGTTGTAATCTTTACTAAAATTGTATAATAAAAAATAGTATTTTGTATTACAATCTTAATATTGTATTGACGAATATATAATATTGTTATCCTAAAAATTTGTTAAAGTAAATTTTACTATATTTTTTTTACCATATAAAATTTACTATACATTTCTCTCCGTGTGGCTGCTTTTTCACTTGTACCATGGTTAACCATGGAATACCATGATGTCCCAAAATTTAAGCCAATTCTTATGTAAAATTGTCCACTGAATTCGAAAATGTCGTCAAAAGTTAAAAAAGTAGAACAGTTTCTGAGAAATAGTCAATTTTCCATTTAATATGGCATTGACTATATCTCAAAAACTGAAGTAATGGTGAAACTAATTGGTTTCTTTAAAAAAACATGTAATTAATTGTCAATATGTTAGTTTTTCATTTAATTGTACAGTTTTGAATATAATATATTATTTTAAAACTGTTAATAACGGTATTTCACTTTTAGTTAAAATTACATAAATCAAATTAAAAATTATGATTTTACATATTTTTATAAATAATTATTAAACGCAAATTATGCTTGACATCTCTTTTAATGCATTTATATGCTTTATCACTTTAAATATAAAAAAGCATATTGGAAAAGACACCTTCATCAAATTTTCCAACAAGTGGATTAATCTAAATTTACCCCAGTTTAATATTAATTCATTGAACTTGTTTTATATGCAAATATTTATCATCCTGGCATTTAATTAAGGCACGTTTCAAATAAATCCTGTTGTAGGTGTCCCCAATGGGGTCAATAAAACCACAACTATATATATATATATATATGCAAAACTAATTTAGATAACGTAATCAAAAATAATAAGTTTTAACTTTATTTGATTTAATTAAAAACGTAAAATGTTTATTTTATTTTAGTCACGAATTTTAACATGGCACAAAATAAGTTTACGAGCGAGTGTTTAATACAAATGAGCATCTAGAAAAGATTTTAAACGAGTTGCATTTTATACTATTTCTACGACAAATTTTATTATAAAATAGTTGAGACAAAATGTAGAAGTCAGTTTGTCAAATTTTCCTGTAAAAAATTAAATTTATCTCTTAAAATGGACTAAAAACTGTTAAAATCCTAAATAGAAGCAGTTTTTACAGTGAATGTGAAAAGCATGTTTTATTTAATCCACTTTTTAAAGTGTTTTTGAGAATAAAGCCGGAAAATGTTAAAAAATATCGAAAAAAACCGTGGCTCGATTTATTGTGTCGTTGGGTGTATTTCGATATGAAATCCTGGGTTGAGTTTTTACCGGTTTTCCAATAAACAGTGTTTATCTGAATGAAGAAATAAATTGCACACAGTCTTTGTAAATATAAATTGTACCTATTAGATACAATAAATACACATTTTAGTAGTGATTAACGTGAAAAGTGTAAACATTTCAATTCAGTAAAAATCGTCAAACAAATAAGTCGTCTAAATTTAAACAGCATTTAGCATTATTAAAAGCTTTGATTAAGAAAGTCTCCACTAAACGGTAAAATACCATTTTATTATCTATTATATATAATATTATGTGGCCATGAATTCGTAGGTAAATTTTGTTGTTTAAAATGCAGTTGTCGGCGTTTTTTAGAGAACTAAAATATAAAAATGGCTAATTTTAAGGTTATGTTTGTGCAAAAATTGTTTTCTTAAAATTGTCCAAACTTAAATATAAATTATATTAGGTAAAGTTATCATTAGTTAATTCTGCACCAACAAATGTACTTACCGAATTGGATTCTTTGGCAAAACATGAAAATGCAACGATTTAGTTCTTGAATTTTATTTACAATTAGAACACAATAATTCACCATGATCCCTTAGATAAAATACACACACTAACGTATCTATTTAAGCATTTAAGCGTTGAGTTTCTTAATCAATGATATAAGGAATAATCAATCGAAATAGAGTACTAAAAAAGTTTTTTAATTTTTTCCTTGCAACGTAAAATACAAATAACGTGCGCGATTTAGCTGTGCAATTGAACAAAATTTGTCGAGTAAGACTGTCTTTTGTGAAAAAACTACCTATTTATTTAAAAATGATGTATAATCTGTGCTTTAAATGTATTGTTGACAATTCTTAAATCCACGCAATGCATATGGTATAGTTACGCTTAAGCAGAACACTGTAATATTGATAATACGGTTTACATTGAAAATAAACTTCAATGTCAACCTATACAGAAATAATCCTTTTGCGAAATGGAAGAAGGACTACACAGCACTGAGAATTAATTGCGTTTCTAGCCCCACAACTCTAATAGTGGTAAATAAGTAATGGGCTTCATATTTTACGAAGGATTAATGTCCTGTATTTACTGCTATGTTTCTTAGTGAGGTAATATTTCCATAAATATGTTATTGCTGTTGTCTCGAAAACGCAAACAATATTCTCTGTAAAGTTTTCAAGAAATTTTTACAGAAAAATTTGACAAACTAACACTGCCATTTAAAAGCCGGTAAAACAGATTCCTTACACCAATTTTGGTTACTCTATTTTTGTACAGAAGTCGCTTTATACAAATATTTAAATTAAATAGTAATAATATTTGTCTATCTCTATTTTAATTAATCCTCAATTGAATTTTTAATTCATACAAAGTTATACAATCCATAAAAGAAGCAAGTTTATATTAAAATGCAAACAGATTGCAATACATATTCTACGGTATTATAAAACTGTATTACCACCACAACAATTAAAATGTGAAAAATAAGAATTTATGAGTCTATGGAGAGCACTAAAAATAAATCAATATGTAAATTAAAAAATAGTTTTTATCTTTTTTTAAGTTTTGTAAATTAGTTTGATATACGAGGTGAGTAGGGTAGGAACAAGAATTCGAGCCCAATTTCCCATGTTAAAATCCCATAGGAAAAAATCAAAAGTTCCATTCTGCAATTTTTTGTCCATATCAAGTCACACACCTGCGGCATCCACCTTCCCCCACCATTTATAAACAGCTAAAACAGCATAAAAACAGCTAATAACAGCATGCTGTTTTTTGAAAAACAGCTTACTGTTATTTATAAACAGCATGCTGTTTTTTGAAAAACAGGAGTACTGTTTATAAAAAATAACAGTAAGCTGTTTTTCAAAAAACAGCGTACTGTTTATAAATAACAGTAAGCTGTTTTTCAAAAAACAGCATGCTGTTTTAGCTGTTTATAAATAACAGTAAGCTGTTTTTCAAAAAAACAGCATGCTGTTATTTGCTGTTTTAGCTGTTTATAAATGGTGGGGGAAGGTGGATGCCGCAGGTGTGTGACTTGATATGGACAAAAAATTGCAGAATGGAACTTTTGATTTTTTCCTATGGGATTTTAACATGGGAAATTGGGCTCGAATTCTTGTTCCTACCCTACTGAGGTGTATTCAGAAAATAACAGGAATTGTTAAATTTCGTGGGTTCGGAGGGTACGGTTGTCATAAAATTTTCTTTATTATGTTGGTATACATGCCCCCGAAGTATGATAAAAACTTTAGCTGTTTTCATTGTTTACTTTGTCTGTGGCTGCCGCTAAGGTTAGACGTGTTTTATGAGCTCGGCGATTTTTCGTTCGTTATAAGAAATGGATCAAAGAATTTCTATCCTATTTTGCTTAAAAAATTAAATAAATTCTGTGAAATGTTAACAAAGGCCTATAGTGAGTCTGCTATAAGTAAAACAAGAGTTTACAAGTGGTATAAGAGTTTCCAAGATGGCCGTGAAGACGTTGAAGATGACGAACGCCCCGAACGCACAAGCACATTAACAACCGATAAAAACATAGAAAATGAAAGAAATGGTTATAAACCATCAGAGAAGTCTCTGTTGATGTTGGTATTGGCTCATCCCATGAAATTTTTTCAAATGTTTTGGGCATGAAACGCGTGGCAGCAAAATTTGTTCTAAAATTGTTAAATTTTGAATAACATTGTTGGCCAAAAACAATACTGTAATGATGCTCCAGCCTCCATATTCGCCAGACATGCCTCTGTCTGACTTTTTCCTATTCCCAAAAATAAAGAGAACCTTAAAGGGCCGTCGTTTTGCAAGCATAGATGACATTAAAAGCGCATCGCTGAAAGAACTAAAGGCTATCCCAAAGATCGAGTTTTAGAAGTGTTTCGAGTATGTGCATGTGCATAATATCCAATGGGGACTATTTTGAAGGCGACAACATTAATGTAGACGAATAAATAAATAATAGTTTCAAAAAACGAAAATTCCCGATATTTTCTGAAAACACCTCGTAAAAAGTTTTTTTCCTTAAATAAAAATTATGTAAGAATATCCATTTCTGTATCTGAAAATTTGCTAAATGGTAAAGTCTTTGAAACGATTATCAAAGAAAACGTTATAACTATTAACAAAGCTTTGAATCCTAGCTTACAGATGCTAGAGAGACTTTTAAAGACATGTATTTCCTTATTTCCATGTTCATTTCTTAGAAGAAATTTCATTCATAACGCAAATAAACTCTCGAAAGAATAACGTTGTATGTGTAGCTCTGGAATTTCGTAAGAAAATGTTAACTTCAAAGGAACTGAAGCTCTTTTTTGACTGCATAGCAATTACTAATGGTTTTGTTAAAATGTTTTTTAATGCGTTCTAAGTATTTTTATTATTTTTAGGTTATGAAAATATTTTGTACTGGTAAAAAAAAAAAACAAAAAATGATAAATTTTGATCTCGATATTTCACGTTCTGTGCCACTGTGCAGAGGTTTGTAATTGAGTCCGGCCATCAGTGGAATTCCCTGCGGCATGGTCCTGTGGGATAAGCAGGACGGCGTCAATTCAACACGCAGGCCTGCTGTTGATCCCACAGGATAGCCGCAGCACCGTTCATTTAGATGGAGCTTCGGTTTATATCGGATTTCCAAAGATTTTATCGGAAATGGATGAAATGTAGCTTTCGCTTTGGCTTCGGCTTTTTATTAGATACCAGTTTTATTGGAGACGAGATAAACTTTTAAAATGGTCCATTGCCATAATGTTCGGTACACAGGGTAACTTAAAACTTGAAAATATATCAAGCAGAGGGGTTTTTTTAGCAAAAATTTACAAGAAACGATCCGTTCGCTAACACTTTTATGTTCTGAATGGGTTAACCATTGAGCCAATGGTATATTCTTGTGAATATATTAGTTGTATAATACATTAATATGAATGAATTCTGGAAACTGCTTCTGGTAGTCTTGTGTACACAGGTTTTTCGATCCATAAAATGAAATTGTTCTGTTTTCTGTAGCAACTATTAGGAACCCACTAGAAGTGTTGGTGATATTAGGCTCTAAGAAAGTTGCTGACCCATCACTAGCAACAGTACTGTACTGGATGTGCAGGATCTGTCTGCCATGGCACATGGTTATTCTAAAACGAAATAGGAATTTCATCTTATGTATATATTTATAGGCGAATCCTGAAGATTTCTGAAAGTCTTAAAGCAATATATATTTTCTGGAAGTTTTTTTATAAATAAATAAAAACTATGTCCATTCAAGCAAAATATCCATTTTAAGGCATGACACCGAATATCAAGATAAACTGTTTCCATGTGTGAGTACACATTTACCTTTTTGATATTATTTAGATATAATTGAGTAATTAAATTACTGGATAATGCATGGCGGACATACAATTAAAAACATGTACAACTTACCTTGAAAATTCGGGATTAGGAAGTACAACCCCCAAGAAATTAGCAAATATAACAAACAACCAAACACTACCTACACCAGAGATAACCCATACACTTACATCAATCGGCGTCACCAGAAATACCGATTAATCAGTTGATCACATTTTACTATAGGCACGTACGCGATTGCAGGTTGCCGATGTGTGGTGTGGCAGGGGATGCCCTGGCGCGTTTGTCTGAATTTTAGCAATCATTAAATTGAAATAATGCGAATGATAATTGGGCAACTAACAAGTATTTTTCAAGACAGTGAAAACATTGGTATTCACTGTAAAACAGTAATAACTTACTTTACCTTAGTTTCCATTGGAATAAAAATCATTAACATTAAAAGAAACAAAGACCTATTTTATTTGTTTTTAATTTTTGGTTGAAGCATTATAACTTTTAATATAAATCAATGTTATATTTAATTAAATATTGTTAATTTAACCTTGATCAGATAAACTTTGAATGCAATCATTTCCAAAATTTTCCAGGAAGTACACATTTCCATTAGGTTTAAATCTAAAGAGCCATTCACTCTATAACAAGTAATTTTAACTTTATATTTTGTTATGGTCTGAATATAATATTTGTAATAACATCAATCCCTTACCCTCACTTGCTTCAAACATATTTGATTAAATAAACTTTAACTTTTATTGGAGAACAATCAATTATAGCATTGTTATTGACTATACCTATCAAAGCGTTTTTTCCCTCACCAAGCTTTGACGTTGTTTTCGCCTCATCTGGACACCAGTTTCAGGCAAAACTTCGGTCTTCCACGAAAACTTGTTATTTCTTTACCTAAACGTGCGTTTTATCGTCGCTTTTACCTCGGTATTTTACCCAAATTTGGAAACGTAACATGTATAAATTTTCAAACAATACATTGCGTGCCACGTCTGACATATGTGACAGACAGTGCTACTTCCTGAGGGGCCACGTCTGTCATATATGCCTGACGCTACACGCTTCATCTTATAGGTTATTAATTTGTGGCCTGCCACGAACATTTTGGTATATTTGGTTCGAGCAAATTCGGAAAATTACTATTTTTTCTGATTATTTATATATATAATTTTTTTTGCAGATGGTCTTTTAGATGCTTAGAGGCTCAGCGAGATGTTGCACAGAAGCACCTCGTCGAGACGTAGGCGAGCGTCGCGTTCTGCGGCGGCGTCGCCGCAGACGCGGGGGACGCGCAGTGCTGCCACATCTCCCGGACGTCGCGCGAGCATTGCGGTGTCGCCGGTTGATGGGGAACGCGCCTCCAGGAGCATGTTGGCGCCGGAAATGAACCGCAGCCCTAGACACAGCATCATTCCCGACATATCGTTCGATACTAGAGAGGATAACGATGCGCCTATATCGCAGTAAGCTGTTTCGATGTTTTATTTATTTACTTGTTTGCCCCACTGTGCGAAACCATTTCTTCAGTGTACTATCGTTGTCGATAGTTTTTAAATTTTTGTTTTTTTCGTTTTTAATGCTTATAACCGAAGTAATGCGAAATTCTAATAATTCTGGTTAATGTGTGGCCCTAGCGTTCCATTGTCTGCGTTCTGTGTAATACTTGTATTACGCTTTCTGTTGTTATTTTCTAGCAATTAAGTTAAATTGCATTTATATTAATCAATGCTTGCTCTTGACAATTTTTTTTTAATCCAAGGCTATTACTTTTGATAAAACTTATAAATTTAATATTTTTTTACAAAAAAAACAATGTTTTGCAATAAAACTTAAATTAACATAAAAATAATAATATTTTGTAAAATAGTGGAACACTTTTTACAATAAAATTAAATACATGTTTTGCAATAAAACTAAAATACCTAGTATATTAAAGAACCAATGTCATAAGTCGTAATTTTGCCGCACGCGGACAATTTATAAAAATTATTTTTATACCTTAAATTTAATTTAGTCGAATTTTACTTTAGATAGTAACCCAACCTCGTAGTACTTCCTGTTCATCTGTGTCCGATTTTGCTGAAAATTGAAAACTGCTGTATGCAAATGTTTGCCCCACTGTGCAAAACCATTTCTTCAGCCTAGAGTTCGAGAACTATCGATGGACATTAACTTAAATTTTTGTTTTTTTAGTTTTAATAGTTTATAACCGAAGTAATGCGAAATTCTAATAATTCCGGTTAATGTGTGGCCCGAGCGTTCCGTTTTCTGCGTTCTATGTAATACTTGTATTACGTTTTCTGTTATTCTTTTCTGGCAAGTTAAGTTGCATTTATATTAATGAATGCTTGCTCTTGACATTTATTTTTTTTTAAATCTATTACTTTTGATAAAACTTATAAAATTATTTTTTTCTAAAATCATAAAAATATTATAATTAATATGCAAAATATTATATTGTTTAAAGTTTATAAGATCAATATTTTTTGTGGGATAAAGTATCTCATTACATCACCGAAAGCGGTGTTTTAATGAAGTCATTATGAACGCAAAATAGATAATAGTATATTGTGTATCAAGTTTTATAAACGCCATTTTAATTACGAGTTTTATTAGGCACGAGCGAAGCTTGCGAGCGAGTGTTTAATAAAAACGAGTGTCTAGAGAAGTTCATAAAACGAGTTGCATACTATACTTTATCTACGAACAGAAATAAGAATTTAAAGACAATTTTATTTCATAATATTTGACATTTAACTAATTTAACCTCACTTTTTCGCAATTTATAATAAAGCCAACTTCAGCCCGTGACTAAAATGCCCAAAAGCCACTGTTAATTAACTTCAGCCCGTGACTAAAATGCCCAAAAGCCACTATTACTAATTTCAGCCCGTGACTAAAACGCCATAAAGTCACAGCTCGTCAATGTAGGAGTAGATAAATTATATTTTTAAACTAAAAAACTGATTTTATGAATAGAATTGAATAAAAAATGCTGTTCAGAACAAAAAATATTTATAAATCAATATTTTTCACAAAAATATTTACTTTTAAAAACACATTTTTGCGGTAAAACTTAAATTTACATAAAAATAATTAAATGTTGTAAAATAGTGGATATCTTCTGACAAAAATGTATTTTTAAACTAAATAACTTTATAAACATAATTGGGTTATAATTGTTTTTTTAAATTTTCATTTATGTTATAAAATTTATATTTTTCATAAAAAAATTATATTTCATTCAAAATTAAACTTAATTTTCTAAAAATATAATTAATATTAATTTTATAATTTTACAATACATAAAAATAAGAATTAATAAAAAAAATCTTTACCATAACTTTTGTAAAAATTGCTTTTTTGTATTGAAAAGCAATTTTGCTTAATTATATTCATACAATTTTATTTTTATGAAAATTTAAGTCAACTGCAAAAATGTGTTTTTAAGCCTAAACATAAAATAAAAATTAACAAAAAAACCTTCACCAAAACTTTTTTGTTTATATTTATTCTAAAAAGTGTCTCGTTCTGAAAAACAATTTTAACCCAATAATATTTGTAAAATTAGTTTTATAGTTTAAAAATACATTTTTGTGAGAAGTTATCCACTATTTAACAACTTTTTTTTTATACAAATTTAACTTTTATTCTAATTTTACTGAATAGGCAATGGGCAAATATTCTTTGCTTTTAAAATAATGGTTCATTATTCTCTGTTCACCTTTAAGTATTTTTTATTATTTCATGTATTTTCGTTGTTCCTACGGATTTTTATAGTATTGCAAATAGCGTCATGCAATACTAATAGTACTGAAATATTTTAACTTATGATTACTGTTACATGTAATAATTGGAAAAATCCTTTACAGTAACAGAAGTTCGCGTCATTGCCTGGCCCCGGACTCCCTAAGCCCGCGCAACAGCCTGGTACCAGACCCTTCCGCGCTTAGAAGTCCCCGCCACAGCCTGGTGCCAAACGACTCTTACTCCCGCTCCCCTCGCAACAGCCTGGTCCCGGACGCAGCCCTCAGCCCTAGAAACAGCCTCACCCCTGTACACGACGGCTACAATCGCAGCCCGAGAAACAGCCTGGTCCCAGACGCGAATAGAAGCCCTAGACACAGCCTCACCCCGGAAAACAACGTCTACGGCTCTAGATTGAGCATCGCGCAGGATTACAACCGAAGCCCTAGGAACAGCCTGGTCCCCGATACAAACAGAACACCCAGGACACCATCAGAGTCCACGTTGTGGAATGGAGAGGTGGAAATCAGCCGCAGTCCCCGGCACAGCATAGCCCCAGAGGCTCAAAGAAGCCCCAGGGGCAGCATTGCTCCGGAGAACTTGTGCGTGAAAACCAGCCCCAGGGGCAGCATTTGCAGCGAGTACGTGGACAGGAGCCCACGTGGTAGTATAGGGCCCGAAAACGGGGAGAGTAGGAATTCGAGGGGGAGCTTGGCAAGGAGTAATTTGGCCACTGATGAGTGTGGGAGGAGTCCTAGGGGAAGTTTGACCTTGACGTTTCAGGAACCCCCTGCCAAAGAAAGAAGAAGCAGCGCCGATAATGCTACAGGTAATATTAACATTTTAAATATCGTTTTATAGTTTGAAAATATAATTTTGTTCAGTGTATTTTTGAGGTTTTTTTGTCAAAAATAAACAGGGACTCCATACAAAGTCATCGGTAGATAAATGTCAAAAATTGTAAATTTGTTCCATTGTAGCCGTATCCTATAGTAGTATTATATAACGGATATTTAATAAAGCACTTTTCTGCAGAAAAGTGCTTTATTAAATGCCAAAACTAAAATTATAATGTTTTTTTGGTAAAAAGTATCATTTTTTTTAATTTTTCGTTTCGTTTTTTTTATTACTAATTAAATTGAAAAGGCAGCAAAGTAAATGGGTTTCGGTATAAGCATTACTCTTAGACTATTATTTTATATGTTTTTATTCAAATCATGCCTAAAGCACCCTAAAATTTAATCTCGAATCTTATTTATTAGGTCTTATCAAAATTTAATATCGAATTGAAGTATAAAGGCACCTTTATCTACTTTATCGTTCAAGCACAAGTGCATCTATTAATTTTTGACATTTAAAATTTAAACTTTAAATTGTATTTTTACTTGAAAGTGATTTTAAGAACCAAAAATGAGACGAACATTTATGTCGTCGTTGTAAATTTGTTTAATTTTTGTTGCGGTAACTTTACGCCCAAGAAAAACCAACCAATATTTCATTACAAAATTTTATGAGATATAGCTACTACTTTAATTTTGCAGGAACATTAAATGGATATACGACGTTTAATGAAAGATCAAGCTTTTAAAAATGCTCTCAAGTTGACGAGCTTGTCGCATATGGCAGTGTTAAAGCTGTCATTGAAAATGTTCGTGGTTCATATCGGGCCTAAAATTGGCGCCAATTCATTGAAAAAATGCTTTTCGTTTTGCAAAGAATTAGCGCTAATATGTTATTCAAAATCCTGATAAATTTGCCGAACTGATGAACATGGAGAACGATTTCACCAAGTAACTGCAAATCTAGAGCATTTGTAGATATCCATGGGTATAGCGGAAAGAAGTTGGATTCATTGCTAGGAGACATTTGCTGGAATTTGCAGTAATAGATGTACGACGATGATGAGGATTAAGCACAATAATACTATAATCCAATTTGATTTTTGATACGATTTAATAAATTTAAGGTAGAAAAAAGCAAAATTATGCAATGCATTAAATTTTGTGGGCTTAATTTGTATAAAAAATACCGAAACTTGTTTACTTTGTTGACCTTTCAATTCACTAATTAAATTTAAAAAATTTTGTTTTAGTATTTAAAATGTCATATTGTTAGGAAAAAAAGTTTCTAAAACTATCATAGTGTACATAATATTATTTAAAAAACGGTTTTTAAATTAAATATTCGTACATTTTACAAAATTAAATTTATTATTATTTTACAAAATTGAATTTATCCCCATAAATCCCACGTAAAACTTATTATCGAACACACTATCAATTTGTCGGTCTCTTGGGACCTGTAAATTCAAAAGGAATACACTATGTTACCCCGTATAAATTTATTATGTCGTAAGTCCTAGAAATTCTTCTTGTACTTCACGCAAGGCTGAAACTCGAGCGTTTCCATGCAAATATAATGTTCACTTTTATTTATTAAATTCGCGCTTAAAAGAAGCATTTGCGTTTTATGGGCCTGCACGTAACATTTGGTGCGTCTTGGTGGGGTTTTGCAGGCAGACGAGTTGTTTTTTTAATGACTGGTGTTGGCTTAATTTTGGAGGATGGTTTTTGCAGATGTAGGTTTTATAAATCACTTTTTAAGGCTTATTAAAATATAATAAAAACTTCTAAATCATATTGAAAATACTAAATATGTTTAGTAATTTTAGAATGGTGTATTGTAATTATACTATACAATTCATTTCAACTCAGTTTAAGAAAATTACAAAATATATTTTACAAGTGCCCAAGCAGCAATTTGTGCCCGAACTTGGGCACGACACTTTTTGTTTCCAAATTGTTTCGACACAAATCGGAAACTTATGTCTAAATGGAAACTGTGTCCATTCTTCAAATTTGTGGTTGCTTTGGGTCGACACCTTTTAAACCAATTGTGTCCAAAAAAAGTATGGGTCTAAGTAGCATTATTTCAGAAATATGTGCCCAAGTTGCGTTGCTTTTGTGCCCTCTTGGAAACAGTAACACAATTTGGACTCATTAGGGTCGACACTTAGTCGACTCAATGTTTCCATATTGTACCTTAACAATCTGTTTCCATTTTATTACCAAATTGAGTCAAGTGGACGCAAAAGTTTCCATTTAGCTGCATTTTAGATTCATGGTGTCTGATTTGTTTCAAAAATGTGTGGGGCGGGCGCATTAGGTCCCAAAGGGACACATTCGCCATATTGTTTTGTTGAAACAGATTCGACGCTTTAAGAAAAAATGGCAGATGTGAAATTTTTTTACATAATTTAACTTTCTGGTGAAATTTAAACTTAAAATTTAAAAAATGCAATGTTTTAAGTTAAATAGAAGGAACATACGTCTAGTTTTGATAAAAATATAGGAAAAAAAATATTTTTAATCAAAAAAAAAATATATAAATACTTATTATTTGTGAGGCCCTATCAATTTTTAAAAGTATTTTGCCTATAACCACCAATAAAATTTTGTTCGCAATAAAAATGAAGGTAACATATACCAAAAATGTTAGATTTAAGTTATAATGTATTTCATACTATTATATTATATACATAATTATTAATAAGACATCACGCCTTACTTTGCCTCTTTGTATCTAGTTTGTTTCCAATTCGTTTCCAATTAAAAATAGTTAGTGTCCATTTGGGTTTATTTTAGAACACAATACAGTACTTTGGCAACAATTCGGAACAAATGGTGACCATTTGGTAACATACAAATTAGAAACTCTTTGGGCATAAATCGGTCACACTACCGGGCACATTGTGGGAAAATTTTAAGAAAAAATCTGGCACATTTTGTGGGCAAACTATGGACACTTTTTGGTACAACTTTCATCACCACTTTGGTCTCATTTTCCACACTTAGTGGTCTTAAAGTGCACTTTGTGTCTTTAAAATGTGTCGTGTCCAAAATCATGTTTCGACGCTGTGTCGACACATTGCCCAAAATGTGTCATTCTTTGCTGCTTGGGTGCGTTCCACCAACTTCAAATACCGACAGACAGCTAGACAGATAGACCTTTCTAGACTTTTCTACCGTTAAATTGTATTTTTAAGTACCTAATAAAAAAAATATTTAAAATTCTCTTATTTTGTCCGTAAACCAAAAATTAAGAAAAAAAATATTTTAAATAAATAAATTTTAATTGGAAACTACCACTGCGTAACATCTCCTTTATGGCTTATTACTGCCTGTATACGTCTCGGCATGGTGTCAACCAATTTTTGACAATCATCCGGCGTAAAATTATTCCAAATTTCTTGCAGGCGAGCACGCAACTCTAAGACGGTTCTTGCGGGCTGTTCTCTGAGCTTCCTTTTCATAATATGCCACAAGTTTCTATAGGCGAAAGATCTGAACTACTAGATGTCCATTTTAAAAGTGAAATATTATTTTCTATCATCCAAGCTTCACTTTTTTAGCCGTATGACACGCTGCACCATCTTGTTGGAAGATGCATTCAATATCATTTAAACGCATTTCTTCAATTTGCGGTTTTAAGTTATTTTTTAGGACGTAAATATATTTATCAGCATTCATAATGCCCTCTACAAAGTGTAATTTACCGATCCCTTTAGCTGACATAGATCCCCAAATCATCACAGAGGCCGGAAACTTTACTTTTTTCTTAAGACAGTCATTGTGAAAGACTTCTGTTTTAGTTCTAATGACTCGGCTTCGATTACACCAACGCAAACTTCAAATCTAGCTTCGTCACTCCATATAATTGAATCCCATTGATTTTGACACCAAGTCCTGTGTTCTTTTGCCCAGAGAAGTCTATTTTTCTTCTGTTTTTTTGTCAATAAAGGTTTTTCCTTTGCCTAGAGATAGTAAAATAAAAAATAAATAAAAATCGTATACATTATAAGCAAACCTTGTAAGTTTTAAACCCAAGTTTTTGAGCAGCTCTATAACAGGTTGCTCTTGAAAAACATTTACTCGTTGCCTGATTCCACAAAACTTTTAATTCACCGTAATTAGCCCTACGATTTTGAACTATAATTTTTCTTAAAGCACTTAAATTTTTATCAGAATAGTGACGACGACTTCCATTTTTTGGTTTCTGCGCCACAGATCCTGTAGTTTTTGTGCAGTTTAAAAATATTTCGCACTGTACCTATATCGTGACAAATTAACAGTTTCAGCGATTTGTGAAGCGGATTTTCTTTTTAAATGCAAGTGAATTATCACTTTTCTTATTTCTTCAGAACAAGCTTTTCCTCGGGACATTAATTGTAAAATTACAACTTATCTTAGTAGATTTCCCAACATGTCTTGGAAGATTACTCAAATTGTATTATAATTTTGTGTTGGTACACACTGATTTGTAATTTAACTCATCCTTTGTTTTGTAAAACAATTGTAATTTTGCAAACAATTTTAACAGTGTACAAGATTAAAACGATATATATTACACTCAAAAAAATATTTAGTAAATTTACACATCTAATCGTTGGTTATTTTGATGCCACGTATTTAAATGTATATGTACAAACATACTGTAAAACTACATATAATGTGTAAAAATGCAAAGGTCATGTAAATGTAAAATTTAGGAAAATAATAGTACAAGTACATTAAAAATTGTAAAAGCACACAAATTTAAGGATTTATTACATAATAATATGAAAAACTACATTTTAATTTAAAAAAATACATAAATTAATGCTATTTTACTTATGTAAGTATGTGTGTACATGTTTTATATGGAACAACACATTTCTTAAGTAAAAAAACAGAAATAAATGTGTATTTGGATGTGTAAAATTTCGTAAATTTTTTTCAGTGTATAGTAAAAATGCAAACAGAAGTTGTATAAAATAAATAATGATTTGTATATTTTCAAACACTTATTGTAATTTAAATAGCAAATTTTGGTTAGTAATTAAATTTCGAATATGTATGGAAATTTTACAAAATTTCAAATTCAATTTTACAATACAGAATTGTAGAATTACTCAACGAAATAATTTGTTAAACATTAACAAAATGATCTATCACCTTTGAAAATAAAAAGTGTCTAAAGTGTAAATTTGTTTCAGGGGCCCGACGAAGCACCTCACCTTACAGATCGGCATCAAGAGGCACTATGAACATGGGTTACAGCGGCAACAGCGGATTCTCAGAAATGGGTTCAAGACGGGCTAGCAGTTCAGTGAGTCAGGTAACAAGTACAACTATTTAAAAGACACTTTTCACTCGCTTAACTATCTGTCTTTTATCGATACTACGCTTCTATTTCTAAACCTTTTATATGCTTGCAAAATCAGTATTAAGTCTGTCGGGAATCGCAACTTAAAATACTATGCCACAAAAGTGAAAAGTGACATTGACATTAACACGGTGGTCAAAACTTAAGTATAGGACGAACAAAAATGCCAATCAAAATAATAAACTTTGTATCATTTAAATTACTTTACTCCCCAGTATTAATTTATTGAGTCACCTAATATTTTTTACCACTCAAAACAAAACATAACAAAAAAAACGAAGATTTATTTCTTAAATATTTTTTATAACAAAAAATACTGGAAGTTTGTCTATGAAATAATTACAACTTGCAAATTTTGCAAAACAATAATTAAGGTGGTTATGAAAAAAATTGCTATACGCTATAACGCAAGTGACGTTTTGCTTTAGTTGTTTATTTAATGTATACTTTATAAAGTTAAAAATAGTATTTTAAAATAAAAATTAAAACGAAATTCAAGTTAAGCCATGAAGAAAATCGAAAGAAGGTATGTGCTGGCTGTGGAGACAAAATTGTTTTTGGTAATCGAAAAATTCAGAGTTTAGGGTTTCTGAGAAAATATAAAAATTACTGCAGACTTTTTCAAACGAACACTTTAACTTAAGTGATTCAAAATTACCTACTTCAATATGGTAAAAAAACGGTATTTTTGCATGGCCACAATCGCCAAATTTTCAAAATTTAGAAATTGCAAGATATAAAGGGCATAAAAAATTATTAAGGGAAGAGGACGGACGAACGAAGTAAAGTTTTTATATGCTCTTTCTTTCTAGGGGATATCGCTAGATGTAAGAAGCATGTTTGTACAGAGACTGAAGAATTTAAAAATACTGTTTCCATGTTAAAAACAATTCCATATAAAACCCAAGAAAAAGTTTTACTGAATATTTAAGACAAGCAGTAATCGATTTTGCTTCAAAGAATCTTTAGTTATTTATTAGTTTTGTATTAGATACCTTAAAACAATAAATAAGATATTGCAAACTGTATTTTACATTATTTTGTATTTATAATGTAATTTATCCATATTTCAGTCATGTATCTGCAAAATTTTTAAAAACATTTGATAATGGTACTAGAGTATTTTATCGAAATGGCATAAACAATTTTAAAATACTAAGAAATATGCAAAACTTTAATAAAGGATTAGCTGGGATTTTGATAAAATTTATTTATTATAAATTTATTTAATACATTTTTGTGTTACCAAAATAGTCTATAATCAGATTATGCTATCAGTTTTGGTTGGCATTTTTGTTTGTCCTATACTTTAGTTTTGACCACCGTGTTAAGTTTTAAAACGTGAAACACACATCTGCAATCATATTGTGGTTTATTGTAATTTTTCTCAAACCTTTTTAAGAATTTGTTTATAACATTTCTTCTCATTTTAAATATTCATAAAATATTTTGTGGAAAAAGATCATTAAAAATGTATCTTAAAAAAACAAACAATGTGGAATGACCCATATATGGTGTGTTTTCTCTCATAAATTAAAGTTTGAAGTTAGTATAAAAAATTAATTATTTTACACAAAATGCATACGAAACAAAGTGTTTTTTAAATAATCAGAATATTTTATGAGATAGAAATATAAAATTAAAAATAAAAAAATATAATTTTTTTAAAGCAATTATATTAAACTTTATAAATTATAAATTTACCTCAACTCGCTTATAGATAAGATAACCAAAATAAAATCTACCAAAAACTTTATAAATTATCTTATGCAGAATTGTTCGGTAAAAAATTCTACTGTTATGATAAATGAGTCTGAATTTTTAATTTGCCTTCGATTATTTTTCTTACTAACCTATTTATTTTTTTATATCTACATATACAGGGCTTTCATTTAAAAACTAACAACCCTTAATAACTTTTGAGTTATAAGTAGTAAATATGATATTGAACAAAAACAGGTCAATTAGGGATTATTCCCAAGTAGCACAAACGGTTAAATAACTAGTATTATAAGTAAATTAACCGAAATCTAAGTTAAATGACGTTTTTTTTGAACTTGGTTTTTTAACCAATTAGTTGAATTATCCAATTAGTTTTTTTTACGGTTATTATAAAACTAAAAAAAACCTTTAAATTAACCAACTAGTTGCTATTACTTAAGAGTTAATTTAAAAGTTATTTTTTTACTATAATTTAACTTTAAAACTAATTGATGAGTGAAACAATACTTCCAAGTTAAATAAATGGTTAATTTTTAGTTAATTGTAACTTTTAAAATAACCTTAATTTACCTTAGTTAATAAGTAGGTTATTTTAGAAGTTATATAACGTTTATATTAACTTTAAATTTTAACCAATAAAACTGGTAAAGAGTAGTTAATTTTATTGTTATATTTTGGTTCATATTAACTGATAAATTGAACCTTTTGGTAAGTTAACCATAGTTTTGGTTTAATTTGACTATATTTTTTAACCAACAAGTTGCATTTTTACCAAATGTATTTTAACTAACCTAACTAACTAAAACTAGTTAAAAAAGTGATGGTTTTGCAGTTTTCATTGTTACCTACTATAGAAAAATAATACATACTATGTTAGGAACTTAAATAGGTACCACAAATAAAGCCTCTTTATAAATAAACTTTGAACGCCACACGATTGTCTATGTAGTACACACTGCAACGTTTTCCAGAACGTTCGGCGGGAATTTATTTTAGGTTAGTTATTTTGAAAATAACAAGTTAGTTTAACTTAACTAAATTTTGGTAATTTTTAACTATAATGTGTTAAATGTAACCAAATTGAAACCAAAACCCAAAGAGTTATAAATTACTGATGGGTAAATAAAGTAGTTAACTTAAACACAAGAAAACAACTAAATGGTTTAAATAAACTTGCAGGTTAATTTATATTGGTTAAATAACCAATTAGTAAAAGCATCCTATAATCGCCATATTGCTTGCTGTTCATTTTACAAAAGGAAATGCCATTCATTTTTATTTTTGATTTTTATTTCAAAAATAGGGTAATTTAAATAAACCAACAATAAAAAATAGTATTATTTTTATGTTTGAAAGTATTTTAAATCAATTTTAAGTAAAATAAAAAATAAAATAAGCAAAAAAAATATTTTTTTTTTAATTTTTATTTTCTTTATTCTTATTATTTTTTGAGCGCTTTTAAAATATAAAAGTATAATGAGCCATTTCATCAGAAAAAAAATGCCCCATTGGTTTTTCTCCTAGAACTATAGTATACCTCTTTTAAATATTAAAATGAAGATATTAATATTCAGGGGAGACATTTTATTTAAAATCTTAAGACTCATAGATCTATGCATAATTGGTGTAGTATAATATACCTACTTGGTAAATTATAATTATATTAAGTAAAAATAAACTTAAAATGGTTGGTTTTTTCACTTTAGTTTAAGTTGACTAAAGAGTTAAAAAACCAGTCAAAAAAGGGTAAAATTAACCAATATTAACTTTTTTTAACCGACAGGTATTTTAACCAAGAAGTTAAATTTATTTAACATAACGTTAAATTAACCATGATTTTTATTCCCCACTTATTACAAAATAACGTTAATTTGAGGTTAATTTAACGTTATAGTACAATATAACTTAAGTAAATTTAACGTTAATTTAACCAGTTGTGCTACATAATTGTGTTGTAAATTTTACCATAACTCAAAAGTAATTAAGGGTGGCGAATGGGCCAATTTTAAATGCATTAATAAAAATAAAAAATTAAATTTTTTATCATTATTCCATTGTACTTTGTACTTTGTACATTGTACAGTGTACTTTGCACTTTTGTACATTGTACATTTGTACATTGTACATTGTACATTGTACTTTGTACATTGTACATTGTACATTGTAATGTACTTTGTACATTGTACTTTGTACATTGTACTTTGTACATTGTACATTGTACTTTGTACATTGTACTTTGTTACATTGTACCCTAAGTAACAAAATTAAAAAGCAAACGGCAAAAATTTAAAATTCACCTTTGCTTTACTCCTTCGCTTTCTAGTCTATTTTCTTCTAAAATCTGACGTAATGTGAAGGTGTTCGTACTACTAATTGACTGACAGGTGGGCCTGCCGCAGGTGTCCGGTGACGAGCAGAGACGGCTCTGCGCCGACCAAAAGTACGGACCTGCAGATCCGGGCATGGGCCTAGGAATAGCCCTCACCACCTACGGTTCAGTGGCGTACCAGCTCAAAGACGCCAACCTTGAGGCTACGGGGACCTGCGACTTCGTCTGCAAGGCCATGAGCATCGTAAACAAGACCGGTGAGTGTTTTTTTCGATTATGATGTTACTACCAGTTGATTAGTTTAAGTGCAATGGGTTCCAGTATTGAAAAAAGAAATCTTTTCTTGGACCAAAATAAGAACGAAAAGAATTTTGATAAAAACTTTTGCTTTATTAATAAATTAACACATGGTGTATTTCGTAACTTTTTTCGAATACTTCGCACACCCCGTTAAATAGGTATAAGGAATCTGAATAACAAAAATAACAGATATCTCGTAATATATTGTAACGTTTTTACTGTTCGTGGTGTGAATAAAAACACGCACTGGTTAATTAACGAGCCAAACTATTTATTTTATAACTTAATTCCACTTAAAACACTATTTATTTATTTCGTCGCGATTACCAAAGCTTGACTGACTGCTCCATGCTGCGCTGTTACTTATACAGGGTGTCTCAAAAGTCAAGGACAGCAGAAAAGGTGTAAATAGAGAATGGGATTCTAAGTCGAATGGAATTTGCCGTTTTTTCGATCAGACGCACCATTAATTAGTTATTAATAAAATAAAGTAGCCAATCACAGGCGTGTTTTAGCAGACTGATTAGAGGTGGGAGGACTATATATAATGTGCAGCGTAATCTTAGAAATTCTGTATAAAATCGTTGTGTATAATTACCTTAATTATATGGTTGACATTGTCACTGTCACTGTCAGTGTTTTAGATTTTAGGTTAGTTTTACCCCAGAGAACCAAGGTTTTACTTTACTTTTACTCATTAACATGAATGTTTTTTATTGTTATGTTATATGTTAGCTACTTTAATTTGTCGCTGACGAGGACGTCGTAGGCAGGTTGAATTTAATTGTTAAAGCAGCCTTCCATAGAAATAATACTAGTATTATTTCTATGCAGCCTTCAGATGAAGTGTGTTCTAAAATAACGCGCACTGGACGTGCAGGTGTTGGGGTATCTAAAACAAAAATCGTGCAAGCCATTCACTGTAATACATCTGAATTTTAGTACTTCAGATGCTGGATGAACTTGATGCTAAGCAAGAAGGTAAAATATGATTGTTCAATGAATTTCAAAAGTAGAATTTCAACAGAGAATCTTTAGGCAGCAATTCATAATAGAAAACAAAGTAAGTAAGAGATGATGATGATTAGCAGAAAACCCAAGACTGTAGAAAAAAAAAAATTCTTTTATTTCCGTGATTTTTTTCAATTAATTTTTGTATACATATTTTACTTTTATTTATATCGATTATTTCTTAAATAAACTTTTTTTTCAAATAATTTTTGTGTTTAAATATTTTACTTTTATTTATATCGATTATTTCTAAAATAAATTTTTTTATAAATATTTTTTATTAAGACGTGTACTAAATTTTCTTGTATTTTTAGCATTTAAATAATAATGACTAATATTTCTTCAATATTTAGTTCATTTATCTCATGAGATGCTCAAAGGTTCCTCCATTTCTCTGCAAGCACATTTCACAACGTTTAATGATATTCGTTCTGACGTTCTCCAGCATTTCTGGTGTTATGTCTGCTTGCGATAATCGAATCCGCTCCAGAGTGTCAAGCTGATCCTCGGGCACGGTTTTGTAAACGACGTCCTTCATGTATCCCCACAAGAAAAAAATCCAGAGGTGTTAAGTCCGGTGATCTTGGGGGCCAACGAAACGGGCCGTTTCTCCCAAAGCGTCGTGGGTACTCAGCATTTAGGTGATCCCGGACACGACCGAAGTAATGAGCCGGTGCACCATCATGCTGGAAGTACTGAGGACGCTCTCCCAACTTCTTCGAGCAACCCTGGAAGAACCTCTTGCACAAAATGCCAAGTACGAGTTTCCCTAATAAATAATCAAAAAATTGTATGATCAACTCATGAAAATATAAATTGATCATTTTTTTAACTTACGTTTAGCGTTTCTGGTAATTGATATAAAATAACGGTATCTCCGATAATACCGCCCCACATATTTAATTTCCACCTGTGCTGGAAACTTTGCACCCTTTCAAAATGTGGGTTTTCAATCGCATACTGATGCAAATTATGGGGATTAAAACACCCCTCACGAGTGAAGGGTGATTCGTCAGTCCACAATACATGCCTCAGAAAGTTAGGGTCTTCACGGTGCATATTGAGAATTTGATTGCAAAACTGTCTTCTCATCTCGTAATCTCCAAGTTCCAGATGTTGTACCTTGGTAGCGTGGTAAGGATGTAGTGCGTTGTCCTTAGTTATGCGGTTAACTGTGCTGCGGGAGATCTCCAATCCACGTTCAAGTTGGCGAGTGCTAGTTCCAGGATCAGCTGCAATGGCCTCAAGAACGCGTTCTTCATTATGAAGGCTGCGAGCTGTTCGTGGTCGGCCAACGCGTTCAGCAGCACCCGGTAAAACGTTGCCATTCATATTAAAATCCTGAACCGCTCGGAGAATTGAAGCATGATTCGGAAACCGAACACGCACACCTTCAAATGTATTCGATACTGGCGTGCAGCTTCCGCAGCATTGTGAGCATATTCGTGATAAATACGGACCATGTCTGCACGTTCGGCAACAGTATAAGCGCGAGGCATCTCAAAAAGTTGTTAAAGTTTTTTTTAACAAAAATGACATTACAATGTATGTCATATTCATCAGGGATAAAAATATCTCTAATTAAATAATAATGTAAAAATTAATTATTAATAAAGTAATTATTTTTACTTAATAAAAAGTAATAGTAAAGTAAAGTATATCACCATCAACCTTGTATTACTTATTTAATAATTCGCAAGTTAAAAAAAATAACAAAAAGATAGGTAGGTAGTACCTACTAGGTACCTATTTGTCCCACACAAAAAAATAAACATTTCTACTGAACCTAAAAAACCAAAACACTGACAGTGACAGTAAATAAATTAATTTAAGGTCATTTCACATATGACATGTTCATAGCTATGGAATTTTTACAAAAGTTTGTGTTGTCCCACCTCTAATCAGTCTGCTAAAACACGCCCTGTGATTGGCTACTTTATTTTATTAATAACTAATTAATGGTGCGTCTGATCGAAAAAACGGCAAATTCCATTCGACTTAGAATCCCATTCTCTATTTACCCCCCTTTTCTGCTTGACTTTTGAGACACCCTGTATATATATATATATATATATATATATATATATATATATATAATAGAATACGTTAATTTTTATTGTAGTATTTTTATAATAACACAGTTATTAACATACACCGGATATGACTGTTTATAATAAATGATATTATAATAAACAGTCATATCCTGTGGAAACCCATAAGGAAAATTTATATTATAATAGATATTAATGTCAGTTTTTTGGTGTGTAAAGTCGTCGTTTAAAATGCGTTTGTTGTCAACTCTAATAATACTTTTCTTTTTTTTTGTTGTTGTTCATTTAAAGCCGTGTCATTACAAACTTCAGTTTAAAGGGGTTCGTAGATTTGAATATTTAAGTGCATTTTGTAAAGTTGAAGAAAGATTGTGGTCCATTTAAAGGAAATAAAAGAATTAAATTACAATTTTTAGTCAAACAAATTTCTTGTCAAGATAACACTAATAGCACCAAATTGAAGTTATTTGAAATATAATTTTATGAATCTAAATCGATGTCGATAGCTAATACTAGACCTAAAACAATTCAAGATTTACGTTTAAACATTTCACGAATTTAATTATTATTCGTATGAACTTGGAAATAGATGCATTTTACAATCAAACCATATTGAACAAATTAGAATTATCTTTTAATAAAATTCTTTTAAATTTACTTCATAATAGGATTAAACAAATAAACAATAACGTATAAAGAAATAAAATTTCATTACTAATTTTAAATGGAAATCCAATTAATTATCAATGTGCAATTTTGCATTTTATAAAATTCTTAAAGTTGACGTATATAATTTATTTTGAACTAGACATTTAGAACATTCTGGACATACGCGTATATTATATACGTCAACTTTTATACTAACGTATATATTATAATAATATACGTATTACGTATACGTATACGTATACGTATACACGTATACGTATATGTATATATATAATTATATACGTTAGTATAAAAGTTGACGTACATACCCGTATGTACCAGAATGTTCTAAATGTTCAATTCAAAAGGAACCTAATTGTTTGGCAAATTGCACATGTAATATGGGAAGGTGAAACATTGATGTCTAATTGTGCAAATTTACGACTTTACGAAATTCCATCATTTGATGAATTAAAAATATGTAAGGTTTATGATCTTTTCGATAAACTACACATTGATTAAGAAATAATTCGTTGACACAACTAGGCAGATTTGACGCCGAAAAAGTCACAGTACTGCTTCTATCCAACAACAACATAAAAAATATTTATTGGATTCCCTCAACTACTCAGGTAAGTTAATTATTAATCCCATTACATTTGTTAATACATATTTTTAGGTATTGCATCTTGATAACAATCAATTAACATATCAGAGTGCGTACAGAGAACTGTCAAAAAAAATAATCAAGTTAAAATTACTTGTTATAGAGTGAATGGCTCTTTAGATTTAAACCTAATGGAAATGTGTACTTCCTTGAAAATTTTAGAAATGATTGCATTCAAAGTTTATCTGATCAAGGAAAATTAACAATATTTAATTAAATATAACATTGATTTATATTATAAGTTATAATGATTCAACCAAAAATTAAAAACAAATGAAATAAGAATAGTCTTTGTTTCTTTTAATGTTTATGATTTTTATTCCAATGGAAACTAAGGTAAAGTAAGTCTTACAGTGAATACCAATGTTTTCACTGTCTACTACCATACAATTTTCATATCATTCGACACAAAATAATATTTTTTATTGAAATGCTGCAGCATTCCCTATACCTAAAAAACGACGTAACAATATGCATATTGCACATGTGTCGTGAACAACACTGGCGATTCATCAAATTACTTTAGATTTTTTTATTTGATTCATTTGTTTATTTAATTGATTATTTCCCTCATTATAAT